CCACAATGACTAAAGTTTTTAAGTCACCATTTCCAGGAATACTGTAAGGGAAACTATTAAGCAGAGACCGCACACCCTGTTCTTAGATGTGCTGCTTTACACACATACTGAAATACATATTGTTTGTGCCCACCTTAAGAAGAAATTCAAATCACTCTGAGCAGACTGTTATTTTAATCAATACTTGGCAAAACTCTGGAAAACTAGAAAATGTTAGGGGAAAGCTGTGATTTTCTGTTTTCATTCAAGGTCACTGACAAAAGTTTATAGCAATGCAATGACAAGAACCAGCCTACAAAGGATGTTTTTAGCCTCTAAAGGTTGTTCCTCATTCAAAGCCATATTTCGTATCTTACAGTTATTCAACTTTATACCCATTTAGTGTGAGTCATGTTAATACTGTACTGTTCTGATTTCTTACTGGTGAGTGAGCTACAGAAATACATTCCTTGTCTATCATCCACATAAGCCTGCATTTTGCTTTCTCTGGGAGAATTTTTTAAAAGCATGTAATAAACATCCCTCAGAAAGGATATGAATGCAGACTTGACAAACGGAAATCAAGCTGTGCAACAAGGTTAACTGCAGATTCTCTGATAACCAGGTTTTTATAAATACTAACATTTTCAAGATGTCTCTCTCCAGCTTACTGAGCACAAACTTGTAAAGGTCACTGGTATGAAGATCCTTAATTTTTAAAAAATATTTTCTAAAGGGCATGCAAGTCTGAACGCTACATATTATTTATAAACATAAAAAGTATCAGTCTTCACTTTGTACTGTGAAATGCTACATTTTATCTCTCCTAGCAGAACATGATACCCTAACAACTACACTCACCACATCTGAAGGCAGATCTTGTTAGTGGCCTCATTGCAGGAATTCAGAGTTTTGTTCACATAATAACATGTTTCTTTTGCCTGAAGATACCTCAATGTGTGTAACTGATCTCTGCACAGGGAGACTGTGGCAGACTCATCCACAGCAGGATGAGTAAGTCCTTTTAATCTTTCTTAGCTGCCCACAAACCACGTCACTGTAATCCATGTGAAAAACTCCAGAACTGTGCCTCAAAGTAAGCCAGAGAAGGTTACCAACACATTAACCTCCCTTTTTGCTTATTAAAAGAAAAATTAAGAGCTTTGAAAGTCAGAAATTTTTATTGCTCTTGGCTTTGAAAGGCCTAATTGTGAGACTAAAATGTTTTACAGGCCAAGTCTTAGAGATTTCTCTTCGAATCAGGAAAGACAGACTGCTCAGCTCACCAGTACCTGCAGTCACTGGGGAGATGATGGTAATTCTCCTGGAGGGGAGTGATCACAGACAGCTTAACTATCCCACGCACTGACCTTCTTCAAGCATTGCAAGAAAGGAGAATTTTATTCCTATGACACCTTGTTCTCTGTGAGGCCGTTTCCAAACATCACTCCGGATTCTGTAGGCCTGTGTCCACAAATGGATGTGCACCCCTCCAAGGCCTGGAGCTTCTCTGTCATTCCCTGCAAAACACTCCTCTGCTGCAGCACAAACCATGACTGCTGTGTGCTTCCCTGCTCTGCTGGGAAGCAACTGTGCAAGATGGAGCATTTTCCCTCTTTGCTGCCTGCTGACTTTTTATGCTGTTCCAACCTTTTTCAGAAAGCCAAGGATATTTTGAGTTCAATAGGAAAACTCAAGGCCAATAAAAAAAAAATCTGTTTAAATTATTTTTTAAAATCCTCTGATAGCCCTGTACAAAGGAAATCCAGCAGCTCAGGAAGCTTTGGCAGTGTTACCCTGGCGGCATGGAATCAGATGTGGTATTCCTCTGGCTGCCTTAGAAAATTGGAACCCCCAACTGTGAAGATCATCTAAGAGTAAAGATGGAGAATAGCTCTGTGTGCTCTGTAAAATATATATGTACATATATTATAGCATCAAGATGAAGATACAAAGAGCTACGGATTGCAATTGTGCAGTTCAAAAAGCACGTCATGACATTCATTTTGGAGACCTCCTGAAAACATAAAATAGAAGTCCCTGGTTTATTTTTGAAGTACCAACCTGTTCCACTTTAGTTTCCTCTCTTCTACCTACTAAGCCATTTTCCCACCCTTCACGCCACAGCAAGGCACTGCCAACAATTTCGAGACACCTGGGCAGGGAACTAGAACAGGTCCACTGCCAGACTCATTTCCAGTTTTTGTTCTACCTGTTTCCCCAAATTGCAGAAAACACAATACTGTCTCCGAGCACCTACAGCACCTGATACATGACTGCTGCCCATCCTCAAGAGCTGTTTCTACATCCTTACCGGAACTCACCCTGCACCACTGTTACTAATGCCACCCTCTCCAGGTAAAAACCTCAAGATTCTGCAGTCCCATGTGATTTGCCACGTTCCACGTTGCCTGTAGCAGGGCAGCAGGGGCAAATACCATTCCCATGTGACAGCTTATTTCTGCTACTGCCATGTGTGCATCTGAAAAGTCCAAATCACTGTCTGGATCATTCTGAAAAGCTTCTCAGGGCTGGCTTACTCTTATTTCAGAGAATAAGACTGGAATGGCAGCAGCCAGTCTCCTTCAGCATGAGTTAAAGAAATCTCTTCTGCAAAGCACCGTAAAAATCATTACTGAATCAATAGGTAAATCAGCACCAAGCCTTCTTATTTTGGACTCTGGAGGCTATACCCACTCAATGCTAAATGTCCAAAAGAAGAAAGAGTTAAGGGAATTCATCACATGATGATAAGTATGAAAGTTAACCTAGCTATAGTGTTGTTAAGCCAAGCTGTAATGCAGCATTTCTAAGATCATATAACATAATACAGAATAATACAAGAACATCTGCTATACAATCCATCCACTAGAAAAATTAAAAAGAACCCAAACAACAGAACCACTCTATCAAAAGCCAAGATAGATTGTTCTGCTGCACAGTAACAGAGGTCACCACCACTTCACACACAAGCAGAATCCTTCAAGTGTTGAGACAGCATTGTACTCTCAGTCATCTACTTTGTTTCAACTGAAATGTGAATAATTTTGTTCACAGATCTGTATAAGAAAGGAAATTTCAAGTTCAGAGTGTCCTGGGAATGACGTGGTATTAGAAATGCATTGCCACTGTTAAAAGTCTCTGCCGAAAGCTCATAGAAACTTCAGGAAAACAATTCTGGGAAATGATCCAGTTATCCCTCCAGAACACAGAAAATCATGTAAAACTTACTTAAAACACCAAAAGTCTCTGAGATATTGCCGCTAATAAGTCTTTTAAGAAAATTTACTATCACGTGTTTCAATAGCGCTTCAATATCACTTCCCATTTCTAAAAAATTAAGTCTCCAGATGCCATAACTTTAAAATACAATACATACAACTTAGAGATAGACACCTGCCTGGGATTACAGACAGTCCAAGAAAAGAGCTCTGAAATATGAAATTTAGCAGGGAATAAGTCAGATAATAATGCTGTTTTACAGCACTGCCAGGACAGTTTTGCTCTTGAAAGCAATAAGCAATTGTTTCATGAAGAAACAATGACCAAGGAAGCCTTAAGTGTCAGTTGATAACGTTGGTAGGAACAGAACAGGATCTACATTCCTGAGGGCAACTGCACCTTTAAAAAGTTGGAGATTCAGTTTCAATAATTTCTTGTGAAAATGAATCAGCTTTGTAAAGCATAAAATAGGCTACCATGAAATACTTTGGTCAAATAAATTTTAAAAATGTGGCCCCACAATCACTGTTAATGTAAGAGCAGCGTGTAAATGGTATTTTCCCCTTCCTCACATGCTGAGTTGTATGTCTTGACTTTGCAAAAAACCTAAAATACAGTGCAGCAGTCAAGGATGTGAGCACCTCTGTCATACCAGTTCTGGCAAAAACAGTAAATCTGCACTTGATTCTAATTCATGAAACATTCACCTCTCTAAGGTATAACCTTAATCTCTGCAGTTCTCCATACAGCACACAAACATTCAAGTACTTCTTCCCTGCAGATCAGCTAACGCACTCTAAACCTACTATTAAAACAGCTGAAATATTTTAATATAGCTTAAGGTAAAATCTATTAAAATGAACAAATACAGCCAACATACACGTTCTAAATCCACATATTGGAAATACACATATTGGTACTGGCTTCAAGAAACCTACTTTATTGTGCATTCTGGGAATGAAGTGATCCGAGACCACTGAAACATGAACTGAAATGCGTAGTGAAACCAGGCAAACCCTCAGCACTTCAACCTGAAACACCAGGTTACCCCAGAGATGGTACCTGTGAGTACATTCCGAAAAAAAATTTGATATTTTATCACACAATCACTCATGGTAATTAGCCCAAATGAAACATATTATCATGTTCACCACCATCTTTTTTTTTAGTATTTTCTCATTTCAGGTGTTTTCTTGGTCCTTGGTGGTCTACTGCCTTTTTATGTTCACATAAAGAACCTACGTTTTTTAATTTATGCATCTTATTAATGCAAATAGGTTCAAAAAGCCATTTCTGAGCCCCCCTAAGATCTCTATTATTATTTTACAGTCATGCCTTTATAAGCAAACACTTTACACTTGACCAAAAAGAGAAATGCTATTCTGTATAATTACAGAATTTATAAGCTTTTACGTACACGGGCATTATTACAGCAAAACAATTAAAACCTTGTCTAGTTTTGAATTCTGCTTCAACAACATCACACAGCCAACCACACAAACACTGGTCCACACAGTGAATTCATTCCTAATCTCTGTCAGATAATGACTGACTCATAAATTACGAGTGTGTTATGGTATTTCTTTAAACTAAGCAAATTTTTAAATGTGTCAACACTGACTAATTTTTAAAGATTGTTGCCCACAATATTTCAGCTGCTTAACCACTGGTGGGAAGGAGCTATTACTATTTAACTAGAAGTTAATGTCCTTGTCAAAAACATGTCTGTAGTCTGACAGGAAAAATGGGTCAAAAAAAGGTGGAGCATAAAAGGAAAAAACATGAGCTGAATGTTTTACCTCACTGTCTGGGCTGGGCTGGATAACTTCCCAGGTCTGAGAGTCCACATCGTAGCAGTGAAGCTCATTAGGCAGCGTGTTATCTGCAGCACCACCAAACACGTAGAGATGCCGATCAAACGCCACCATGGTGTGGCCGTATCTTCGCTGTGGAGGAGGAGGGGAGCCTCGAAGCAAGTGCTCAGTAGGAATCCGTGTCCAACTGAGACATTAAACATGAAACAGTATGAACAGCAGCTCTATTACAGTGCTTACTGATCCTGCATGAGAACAGACAACAACTAATCCTGCAGATTTCTCAGCTCTGTATTGCTAAATTTCTAACTGAAAATGTGATAAATGCAACGTGGTTCCATAACCCAGATGTATTTATGTAATCCTCAGCAGCACAAAGATCACAACTTGGGAAGGAGTAAGTCATTATCACATATTTTAACAGCTAACCCTTCTAAGTGAAGGGCACTGTTCTCGTACCATACCCCATTTGGATAAGGCACTGCTGATCCACTACCATAGCAGGATCTCAGCCAAGGTCTGGAGCCCGTCAGCTGTTGTTTCAGTTGTGGTTCCACTTCAGCCAGTAACCAATAACCAGGCTGGCAGAACAGACCAGTGTGTCTGTATTCCACTTTTTGGCTTTTTTTATCCCATCAGAGGGGCCACATTTTCAGAGCAATGGTTGACACTGAGCAAGTCACACCAAATGTCTCAAACTAAATCCTCAAGGTTTTTTAAAATACTATACATTTTATATTTCCCAGTGATTTCACTATGAACTGGGTTTTCATAGGACCTCTGTCTGGTTTTAATCAGTTAGTTATTCAAATAACAACTTTTAGGAAGGCAATATTTGGCATCCCATGCTGAATACACTAAGATTCATACTTACTGTTTGTACTGAATCTACTAAACTTTCCGCTTGTCTGCTGAAAAAGACCTATCTGATGCACATTGCAAACGACAAAGTCTCATTAAAACAGTCAATATTTTATCTTATCTACCCTTCCTTGTCATGAGATGCAGTGTTCTTCCTCAATACCCTTAAGTACGTGCATTTCTCAACTGAAGTAGTCAAGGATTATGTGGATTTTGCAGGACTTAACTGTCTACACTTACATCTTTTCTTTGAATTCAAACTGGAAGAGATTGTTGGTAATCTTTGCTCCACTCTGGCCAGAGAAAACAAACATCTTGTCTTTGCAAACAGCCACAGGAAAATTACAACACGAAGGCGGAATTTCACCACTTTGTTCAATCTGAAAGATAACGAAGTTCAAAATTAAAAACGTATTACTGTAGTGCGCAACTACGCGCGTGGAGCATGCTGCAACCCATCAGCAGGCAGACAGACTGACCACATGGCAGCAATGTGTGCAGACAACCAAGTCCTCATAAATCTGGCTACAGGTAATCAACTAATGCTGTGCTTACATGTCTGCACAGACTAGTTTTACCATGGATAAAAAGGATGAGAGGACACATTTCTAAAGCCCCTGATACCGTGAGGATCAGGACTCTGATCTTGCTAGCCAGGCAGCACAGCTCCCAGTCTGTGGCAGTGGCTGAAGTGGGAAGTGCAGTCCCTCTCTACAGGGGCACATCAAAGTCACTATGGGCAGTCTTTGCCCAGCTCACAGATTCACAACCAAAAAAAAAATAAAATCACACTTTCATAGACACTCGGTTTTCCAAATACACAAACAATGTGATTTTTTTGCTGAACTGTTTCTTTTTGTCTGTGTGACAAAGACATTCTGAAGAGAGCAGTGCAGCCCAGCATAGGAAATTTTAAATAATTGTATATGAAAACCAAAAAAAAATTCTGTTAGTTGAAATTAAAGTTTCTTACCTCTTCCCAGCATGTTAGCTCTCTATCCTGTAGGCCAACTGTCCACATATCATTTAACCTATAACACAAAAAATGGTTGACTTGAAATAGTTTATTTTCAGTAATTTTTAGCTCACAGTTGAAAGGACAGAGATCCTATTTTATCAGCATTCCTTCTCCTGCACAGGAAGAACCTCCTACTTCCACTAGTAGACAGAAACCTATTAAAATCTTTTTGTCCTATACCTAAGTTTTATACCACCACCTCAGCTTGCTTTAGCATCTTTCTGATTACAAGTATACTATAGTTACCAGTTATACACAGCAACTCTGCCTGGAGCTTAAGGATTTGAGCTCTTTAATCTTCAGGACTTTTACAGAAATATTCCTTAATACCCTGCCTTCTTCTACCTATCGCTGCTAACCCCTGAGACCGACCACAGTAATTACTTACGTTGCTGAATCCTACCTTACATAAAGGAGGACGAAGCGGGTAACCTGACACATTGCTGACTACTACATATCTGACTATGCTTTTCCCAGTACAAGTTACTCACAGTAACTACAGATGTTTCCTTTGTTCAAATCTGCCTGGAGGCTCATGTTCCACAAAAAAACATTTTTTTAATGTGATTAGACATATTTAACATAAATTAGACAGCTCCTCTCACCCAATTCCTCCTTCCAGCTACTCAAGGTCCTTGGGGAACTCCCTACGCTGGAACTGAGCAATTCCACAGGGTTATGCATCTTTCTCCAATTCCTCCCTCAGAAATAAATAAAAGATTCCATCTGTTTTTCCAATTAACAGCAGCTCTCCCAGAGACTTTGAGGAGCTGGTAACTTTGCTGAAGATTCTCCTCAGAAGAGGAGGCAACCCAGCACATTGAGGCAGCTCCTAATTTGTTACAGTCTCTATGTGCTCTCATGATGCAAATGTTGTGCATCAACATTAAATACTTCTCAAGTTCATCAAGACAGAAAAAAAAATGCATTCAGAATTGATTCTTCCCTGATAGACTAACAGCAAATGCAAAGAGCTGCCATCTGGGACAAAGCACCAGACACGTCCTAACTTCTCAGTACCACTCATTTCCAGTCTTTTCCCATCCAAAATCTCATCTCCCTTCAACCTAAATAGTATCATATCATTTTCAGAGCAAAAGCTGAAATGTTGTTCCTAGTTCTGTCATGTGACTTCACAGAAAATCCACACTTTGTTCTATAAGTCTTCAGGGACATCAAAAGGCTCGTGGCAGGTATCTTCTAAGAAATGCTCATTTGCCATATTTCAAAGATCCTTTAGCAACTTTACAACCAAGGTGGCTGACAAGTTATACTCTTGAGTCACCAGACTTTTAGGTTTTAAAAACATACTTATTTGAACATGAACTGGTAGATTGCAAAAATGTAATGCTCAGCAACAGGCTGGGTTTTGCAAAGCTCATTATGTGTTTAAATCACTTGGTAAATGAAAATGTCTCTGCAGAGGTGAAAAGTAAGGGAGTGGGATTTTACAAAAGCACCCAAGGAGAGAGCAATCCCACCACATACCGTGCATTGCCATCGTATCCCGCAAAGATCCACAGCTTGTCACTATACACTGTTGCACCATGAGCTGACCTCGCAACTGGCAATCTGCAAGTCAGAAAATTAAGAAAAAGATGTCTTAAATCACCTGCAGAGGTGCTGTAAGAAGGATCCACATTACAACTAAAATGGACATGTAAGAAGAATTAAGTCCCCTGCACAAAATGGCCACAAGCCAAGAAACTGCTTCTGTCATACACCCTTAAAACACAAAGCAAGCCTCTGGAGGGGACGGTTTAGAATTTCACACTCTGCTTCCTTCATTAGAGAAAAATTACCTGAATGCATACAGAAAAAAACAGAGAAAAAAAATCCCAACTAATTCCTTGTCGGGCCTCAAATACTCTTATTTTATGGAAAGTAGCAAAGTAGTGGGACAATTCATAGCACTATCATTATGGCAGACTGGCAATCTCCCTGTGCTATAAAAATCCCACACGTACCTTCACACGCTAAGAAGGTGGAACACACAAACAAGACCTGGGACAGAGCTCAAAATGCTTATTTGGGACTGCTTAGCAGGGCTTTCCTGAGATGCAGTGCCCACAATAAAAGATCAAACCTGTGATTTCTCTTCCCCAGTCTTTGTTGTTTTTACTAAATCAGCCAAGTGTTGAACAAAACTGTGATGCCACAAGGCCAGGAGATGTAACAGTAGCTTGTTTGAGGTCATTTGTGCAGTATGCACTCTTGTAACTGGGGGAAAGACAAGCACGTTTGAGTTCATAAAATATGAATACAAATTGCTCTCCAAAACGTCCAAAGTTGTACAATAATCAGAAAGAGAAACTACTAATGTGGTTTATATTTAAAAACATATGCTCATCAGGCGAGCAACAGTAACTTAAGAATAGATTGTGCATTCCTCACCCCTTTCTACAAAAGTCAATATTAAATGTTCCCTTCCCTCTCCCCACTAAAATCAGCATTTCAGAAACTTCAGAAACTGTGGTAAAGACACAGCAGGTCCCATACACGGGGGTGGTAAAACATTACATGGATGGGTCAAAACTCAGTGTCACAGGTAACATCCTGAAATGTGCACAAAAGTCAGCTCGAAGTAGCAATGAGTTACTGGTTTTGATTTTGCCTTGGAAAGATGAAACTCAGGAACCTGTACTCAACAGATCCAAATATATATATCAACTCTGCTTCTAAATTTCTGTGAATACACATCACCCTAAGGTGCTTCAAGCAAGTGTGTGCATTTCAGAGGACTCTAAGATAAAGTCCAACTTTAATCAGAAAAGAATGTGTAGATTTAACTACAAATCAGCTTCAAATTTTGTTTTATTAAACTAAACTGAAACTATGAGGGATCAACAAATTTCATGCTATCCTTGAAAAAGAAACAATTCAAGAGAAAAAATCTCCTCTGCTCCCATCCCTTCTGTCACAGAATGTGAACAATGGATTTTTGTCAGATTTCCAGTATAGTACACTCTAGAATGGAGGCCCTGAAAAATAACTCCTTCTGAACAAAGATAGTTTTCAGAAAACTTTAATCAAGAAAGTGGAGCGGAAATTGTCCTTCAGCCTTAATATTAATATTGTACCTAATTCTAGCTGTGCCCTTTTAACTATTTGCTGAGTTACCCTCAAGTCCCCTTGAAGAGTGGGGCAACAAGGCCAGCTCCTTACCTTCCTTCAGTCTTCCACTCTGTCCACTGTCCAGTTGCAAACTTATATTCAAAGAGATCATTTTTATTCTTCAGGTTGGAATTGGAATAAATGTCTCCAGTATAGCCACCTGGGCAACAACAATTCCATTAGACTCAAATGCAACAGAGCATACACGCTTCTACCCATTAGATTAGAAAAACCCTTAAGTTTAGATGGCACAAAGAGAAGGTATTTGACTAATGGACTACTATAGGTAGGAGACTTCTCCTCCACTCCTACCCCTAAAGAAACACTACAGTAATGAGTTTCAAGTGTTCTTTACTTCAGACAAAACAGCAAAAATATTTCCAACCTAAAGTTGAAATCACAGTCAGCCATGAAAAATACTGGATTTGCTACTGAATAAGATATTTTGACACTTCCTAAAAATATCTCATTCTTTTTTCAAAGTAACACTACCAGCACATTCATCATTCCAAGCCCGCACAACCGAAATCTGCTGCTGTCTTACCAAACACAAACATGCTGCTCCCATAGACCACAGCAGAGTGGTGATACCGTGGTGCTGGTGGGGTCCCCGTGGTAAAAGCCCTGCACAACATTTAGAACAGCAGCAATCAAACACCCTTGTCATGCTTCAGCTATTGTGCAGATTCACAAAAAGAAACAATTGTTAAAAGCTATTCTGCTTTCACTAGTTTTGGTTTCTTAATTATACTAAGAGTTTATGACAGGCTTAGTGCTATAAGCATAAATGGCTGCAAACGTGAAGCTGCTGGAATCTGTTTGCAGATAGCAAGCAGGGCACAGGTAAGGCCACTGGGACTAAACGCTCCAGAGCAAAGGAGCCAAGCAAAGACATCTGTGAGGCTCCCTTGGCACCTTTCCAGCCCTGAGGGGCTGCAGCAGCCCAGGCCCTCTGCCCCAGCACCCTTCCAGCTCTCTCACAGGGTGTGTGACAGTGGCACCCCCCGGTTCTGTCCATCGCTGCGCCCAGCGCCCCCCGGCAGGCAGGAGCCCCGGCGGCAGCACCGGGGCTGCCTCGGAGAAGAGTCGGAAGCCAGGCGGGTTTATACGCTAAAAGTTTATTTGTTAGTACAAAAAACCCCAAACCACGAACAATACTCGTGAATACGCATAAAGTCTCGTTCCAGTCAGGTCTGCGCTATCAGCGACTCCGGTGAGTCTGTGGCTGCCGGAGCCTCGGGCAATTCCAGCAAGTAACGCCCGGTGTGCGAAACGGGATGGGTTCCTCCCCGCAGAGGAGCTGCGAGCAGCACATGCCCAGCGCTGGGCAGGAGCCTGCAGCGCACCCTTCGGTTTTAACTTCAACAGGGAGTTTGTATTTCTTAACACGGCGTTAGTAACTGTTATGACTATTAGTTTAGTTTCTTCTCGACAGCAGACGACAGGTAAGAGGGGTGCTCTGCACCTCGAAACCAGCCCTTGGACAGACCTCTGTAAGAGCCCAGCATTTTTCATCCTGAGCAAATCACCCTGTTACCGGTCAGATTTGTTTCAGCAAAACTGACACCCCTCCAGCAAACAGTTTTTTTGTTTAAAGATACATCATGGAGCATTTAGAATTTTGTTAGGAAGGGCAGCGGGAAAGCAGAAAGGCAAAGGAGTTACATCAGTGCAGCAACCAGGAGGACCACACAAAAGTTCTTCAAACCATCTCCCCTTTGTGCACTGTTGCTCTCACAGCCTATTTAAGTGTCTTTCTAGGGGAAGCCTGAGTCACAGTGTTTCTTGTCAAAAAATATCCTTCACACCACGAGTTTCCTCACAACAGAGTGTGCTGCACAACCTCACTGCTGCTGTGCCCACTGTGCCCAGGCAGGGACAGGACATCTCTGGGCTGGTCCCCACCTCCAGCTCCTGTGCAGCAGCACTGTGCCCCGCCAGCTCAGGCTGCACCCGGGCTGACACGACAGGAGTGCAGAGCACCAGTCCCCAAAAGCCACTTATCCACCGATCTTTCCCTTGTCACAAGCTACAGCCCTGGAAAACACAGATACACCTGCAAATCAAAGCAGTTTCTAATCAACACACTGACGAGCTCCAACAGGAACTCTAAAAGACACCAGTCCATCTACTCTTTGGACCTTGCTATTGCAAAGAAATCCTTGGATTTCTCACAGTTCAGGATGAGGAACAGTATCAGCAGTACCAGGTCGGTGTCATTTTTTATGATCTTGTTTAAACCCACCATCCAACTTAACTAAAGCAAGCACCACTAAGGCACCCAGCAGCCAACTCCCACCAGAAATCATGTGAACCTCAGCAGCACCTCTCCACGAGCTCTGGCTACCCAGACCTGCACACACTCCATTTACTACTGACACCCTAACACACACCTAGATGCTTCCAGACGTTTGGTATTCACTTACCTCCAAGAATGGATGACTGGTTTTGAGCCTTGCTGCCAATGTATGGGGCAAAATAAGATGGTCCTACCTCTTCCCAGGGCTGAGACCGGTCACTCTGAGGACACTCACTTGATCCTTTCTGTACAGCTATCAGGATACACCATCTGCTTCTAGTTGGGTTTTCTCAAGAGACTACACCATTACACTTGTTGGCCCTTTTCAGTGAAAGCTACAAGAGACAAATGCCTCAAAACAAAATTCCTCAGGAAAAAAAAAAAGTCTAGGTAGAAAGCAGAACCACAGTGTTCCCACTGAAGGGAAGGCCATGGCACCAAGTTTAATTATAAATTCTTATACACCAGAGAATCCACCGAAAAGAAAGATACTGTGACACAATTGTGTGGAAATTTTTGATCAGAGCTTATTAGACAGACACACACATGCTCACACACACAAAAAGTCAGGCTTCAAATTCTGCTTCTCACAGAGCTATTCAGACAAAACCATTGAGAACTCCAGGATGGTTCATATTAGTCTGCAGCGAATGGTGGGAATTGCCCCCTAGTTCTGCCTGTTCCCAAGTACAACGTGAGGGGTGGGGGTGGGAGAAGGGAGCAACGTCTGTTTTAGAATTCAGGGTTATTTTACCATTTTCCCCACACACGCTAAACAAATTGTGCCATCTTTGTCTGTTAAAAAGTTAATTTATTATCCTCTCCTGGTAAAACAGTGAAAAGCTATACTCTGTTAGACCAGTAAGATACAGAATTACTCCAGCTCTTTGGAGGTTTTTAGATACAACTTCGAAGCATTTTATTCCACAAAGGAACAGCAAGTACCTTTCTTAAGAAAGGAAACTCTATAATGGGTCAGCCTTTTCTTTTAAGCAGAAGAAGATGTATCCATTACAGGACTCCCTTTCTGTCCAGATGACTCCTATGAAATACCCTAACATCCTCCGGGCAGCATATACAGAAATATTCCTAAGGAGAAACATGTCTTAGAAAAGTTACTTCAGGAAACAAGTGCAAGTTCCTTTTAAATCTGTTTTATAAGAAGGATACCAATGTACATTTTAATAGTTTTATTTTCATTTTCCCCCAAGGGGGAACGAAAGGCAGAGAGGTGTTGTGAGATACATCACGCTGTTCTTACGGGTAAGTCAATTTGCAAATGTTATTTTACCACTCTATAAAAATACACACAGGAGTGTGAAGAAAGCAAAGTAGTTCAGAGTGGCTGTCATGGAGCAAATATGTTAAATACAATCAGTTTTTTTCCCCGAAAAATTGTGGCTCCTTGTGTTCCATAAAACCGAAGTCTTTAGTAGCCACATGCCACAGGAACCAAAATTTAAGTGGTAGCTTCCTTTGAGCATGTGCACACAAAAGCATTAGTAAAGAGCTGCTCCCATTGGACTGGACAGCAGATGTGAGCAACAAAGCCCCATCCACAACAAGGAAAGAAGATATGCATTCAGTTTTTTTGTCTCAGTTTTCCATCCAAACTCCTGAAAACAGGTTCCATATCATTCAGGCATCTCTGATAAAAGAGTCTATAGTTCTATAAAAAGAAGTCACGCCGTAAGATCAAGATATTTACCCTGTATGTCATGCGAGCGTGAAGAGGAACAACCTTCCAATTTCTCAAGATACATCCAAGCAATCTGTAAGTGACCCAATTCCTTTCTCTGTCCAACTGTGCTGTGGGAAACTCAGTTAAGTGCCTCTTCGCAGGTAGAGACAGTTTTGCTTTTAAAAATATTAAGGACACATTTTTTTTTTATCTTTAAGAACTTCCTGGAAAGTTACTGTGGAAAATGAAAGCGCTCCCATGGTGAGAACAATGTGCAAAGCTCTACAGACTTCTGTCCTTGCTGCTTTCTTGGTATTCCTTCCCTTAGCAGATTCGTGTTAAGATGAGGCTCAATACATTGCAATGAGGCCATCATCCACCTGTAACAAGCAGGTAGACACTGGAAAATGTTTTATGTTTAATCATAAAACGTGGAATAAACCAAAAAAAAAAAAAAGATTCAGATATGATTGGTATGGTCTCTTGAGTAGGTTTATATACCAATGGCCTGTAACACTCGCTTTTCATTCTCATTGAGATGGTCTGAAAACATTGCATAGCAGGGCTGCTGTGCAAACTGACAGAGGAAGTCAGTGAGATAGGCCTGAAAGGAAGACAGAAAGACCCAGTTAGCATCACATCACTGGAAATTCTGTTTCTTTCATGTATCAAAAGATAAACCTCAACATGCACCAAGCAAGATAAAGGGATTGCAGGGAACAGACAAGCGATGCAGAAGGAAGGTGGCAGCAGAGGGGAAGGACTAAGAAATGGCTGCCAGGTGGTGGCAAAAAGCAGGAGCAAACATACAGGGACTGACTGGATGGAAGCATCTCCAAGGGGAGCATGGAATTCTGTCAGGTTCAGACTCCAATCTACTTCTGACTTCAGCAAACAGCTGTGAAGCTCATAGGTAGAAAATTCTCAACTCCCTCTGTTCAAAAAGTTTTGTTCATTCACTTTTCCACATTATAGATATTGATCCAATAAGGAAAAACTCCAGGCACTCTTGGGACACTCAACACTTTCCAAAGTAATTTCAATGAACTGAGTACCTTTGGGACAACAATCAATAACTGGTGTTTCCAGTGGTTTACAGTTTTGTTAAAGTACAACATGAAAAAAATTAAGTTTATAAAGAATGATAGGAATCTGATTTTTAAAAAATCTCATTCTAGAGCATCACCTGGAGATCTATTTGGTAAAGAGGGTCCTTTAATGCATCTGGATCATCCTCTTCATCATCTTCAAAGTAATCCTCATCTGTCAGAAGCAAATCAGCAGGTTTTAACATCAAACAGAGCAAAATATCTGAGGAAGTATTCTATTAGACTACTGTCGAAATCCAAGGATCCAAAAATAAATAGTTTCAGCACTGCTGGGTAAAAAAAAAAAAAAAAAGTATCCAAAATATTCGCTCCTTAAGTTCACATGATTAGAAAACAACAAACCCAAGACAAGACAGGTAATAGTGGGAGTCTCACACAGGCAAGACCAGCATACATGGGATACTGGACAAGCAGGTTTGTTAGTTATGGTACTATTATCTTATGCCTTAATCTTATGTCAGGGTGACACATTTCCAAATCCGTACTAAAGTAAGTAGTTTCCCTTATTGTATTTGCCTGTAAGGTTCGCCCTTCTAAGACTATATGCAAACAGGAGAGCAGAGG